ATCAAGGTCCGGCTCCCATACTCCCTCCAGCATGGAATATCCACAGTCACTTTCACACAGAATGTCTTCCTCCCAGCCTCTCCTGCCTGTCTTTCAGGGACACTCAGATGCCTTAGAGTGTGTGTTACTGCCCAATATGCTTACTCATGCACATTGATATTACTGTCTACGAGGTCACCTGCTTCTCTGGGACAGTATTGATACATCTTTCCTTGCATGTGCCTTGCCTCTAGTGGCTAGTCAGACATCAGAGAATCTGGTTTTTCAGTTTTATTTACTATTTGATGCCCGGACCTGGCCCAAAGTACATACTTGACAACCATGTATTGAATGAATGAAAAAGTTAATGGATGCTGTGAAAAGTTTGAATTTCCATGTCTGGTTTAGGTCTTTCTATTTGTGCCCACAGAAGAGTGGTCCATGTAGAATGAAGATGCCCAGTGCTGGAGGGTGGAGGAGTAGAAGCTGGCTTTCTTTAGGCTCTGCCAGGACAGCTGGGCAAGCCTGGGAGCCCGCCATCAAGTGTTTCAGGGTCTATGTGGTCACACTGTCTGTAACTTCTGACTTTATAGGTTAGCACTTGTGTAGTAGGCATTTATGCAGAGCTTTCAAGCTGAAATTGAATGCACTGGTCACTAATATCTGCACCTGGAATCATCCTTGCTACAATCAAAAGTGGATATTTGTTTTCAGGGATTCCCCATGTCTGGCAACACCATTTTTGTTTTTAGTTTCGTTTTTCTCACTCCACTGTTCCCATATCTTTTGCTTTTATCCTTCACCTTGAGTTCATTCTCCTGTGATCAGACCCATATCTCAGAAGCCTTAGTTCCTTCCTCTGCATCTCTAAAACACAGCTGTCCTTTATCTATTTTTCAAGGATCTGTCTGCACTTCAGTAACTTATTGGTTGTCCATGTTCAAAATTCTTCTCAAGTATTTCATGGACTGGACTCCAAGACAGTTCTCTACGTTGCCTCTAGCACTCTGCATTTTGACATAGCCTAGTGGAGAAATCATAGACAAAGAGGTTAATCTACTGACAGAAATTGTAAATACTAAAAACTTCAGGAGAAAATAGCTGGAAAGGTGAGGCAAGCCTATGAATGCTGCTTAAATCAGCCCACTGTGGTGCACAGTTGCTCCTGAGCACTCCCTCAAATGGCTCTTGGATGGTCAATCAGTACCTGCCAGGATTATCCTGGATTATGTATTAGATGACTGAAGTTATATTGATGCTGATGGCAGTGGAGAACCACAGCATGGCATAAAGGGGAAGGAAGAGCAGCTTTCTGTTTGTACGTAAATACATGCACACCTCATCTTATTGTGCTTTGCACATAGTGTTTTGTTGTTGTTGTTGTTTTACAAATTAAAGGTTTGTCACAACCCTGTGTCAAATAAAGTCTGTTTCACTCTTCTAATAGCAAGTGCTCACATTGTGTCTGTGTGTCACATTTTAGTAATTCCAGAAGTATTCCAAACTATTTTATTATTATGTCATTATAATGATCTGTGATCAGGATCAGAGACCTTTGATGTTACTATTTTAATTGTTTTTGGACACCAGGAACTATGCCTGTATAAAATGGTGAACTTAATCCGTTCTGACTGCGCCACCAACTTGTCATTCCTCCACTTCTCTTCCTCTTCTTGGGCCTCCCTATTTCCTGAGATGCTGTAATATTTAAATTAGGCCAATTAATAACCCTATAAGTGTTCAAGTAGACAAAGAGTCACATGTCTCTCATTTTAAATCAAAAGCTAAAAATGATCAAGCTTAGGAAAGCATGTTGAAAACCAAGGCAGGCCAAGCACTAGGCCTCTTGTGCCAGTTAGCCAACTCACGCACATAAACAAAAAGTTCTTGAAATAAAGTAAATGTGCTACTCCAGTGAACACATGAACAATTAGAAAGGAAACAGCTTGCTGCTGATATGGAAAGTGTTTGAGTGATCTGGATAGAAGACCAAAGCAGCCACACATTTTCTAAGCCAAAGCCTAATACAGAGCAAGGCCCTGATTTCGCTTAACTCTGTGAAGTCTTAGAGAGGTGAGGAAGCTGTAGAAGAAATGTTTGAAGTCAGCAGAGTCTGGTTAATGAGGTTTAAGGGAAAAAGCTATTTTCATAACATAAAAATAGAAGATGAAGCAGCAAGTGCTGTTGAAGAAGCCGCAGCAAGTTATCCAAACGATCTAGCTAAGACCGTTGATAAAGGTAACTACCCTAAACAACAGATTTGCGAGGTAGACAAAACAGCCTTCTATTGGAAGAAGATGCCATCTAAGACAGTCATAGCTAAAGAGGAGAAGTCAATACCTGGCTTCAGAAGACAGGCTGTCTCTCTTTTTAGTGGCTAATGCAGCTAGTGACTTTAAGTTGAAGTCAGTAGGTATTTGCCATTCTGAAAATTCTAAGGCCCTTAAGAATTATGCTAGATCTACTGTGTCTACACTCTGTAAATGGAAAAGTAAAGCCTGGATGACAACATGCCTATTTGCAGCATGGTTTGCTGAATATTTTAAGTCCACTGCTGACACCTAATGCTCATATAAAAAGATTTCTTTCAAAATATTACTGGTTATTGACAATGCACCTAGTCACCCAAGAGCTCTGTCAACCACCACTATGATCAGTCAGCTGTCATCACCACTGTCACTAAGGCAAGACTCTCCACCAACAAAAAGATATACAAGGAGATGAAGATATACAAGGAGATTAATGTTTTTTCATACTTGCTAACACAACATGGATTCTGCAGCCTATGTATTAACAATTAATTTTTGCTTTCAAGTCTTATTACTTGAGAGAAACATTTCATAAGGCTATCACCGCCACTAATAGTGATTTCTCTGATGGATGTAAGCAAAGTAAATTGAAAACATTCTGGAAATGATTCACCACTCTAAGTGCCACTAAGAACATTTGTGATTCGTGGGAAGAGGTCAGCATATCAGCACTAACAGGAGTTTGGAAGAACATGATTTCAACCCTCACAGATGACTTTGAGGGGTTCAAGACTTCAGTAGAGAAAGTAACTGCAGATACGATGGAAATAGCAAGAGAAATGGAATAAGAAGTGGATCCTGAAAATGGGACTGAGTTGTTGCAATCTTATAACAAAACTTGGGATGAGAAGTTGCTTCTTAAGAATGAGCAAAGGAAATGCCTTCTTCAGAAGGAAACTAGTCCTGGTGAAGATGCTGTGAGCATTGTTGAATAAAAGCAAATGACTTAGAATATTACACAAACTTAATTGATAAAGCAGTAGCAGCATTTGAGAGAACTGACTACAGTTTTGAGAGACATGCTATTGTTGTTTAAGCTTCTATTGAACAGCTTTGTATGCTACAGAGAAATCTTTTGAAAAAGGAAGTCAGTCAATGAAGCAAATTTCGCTATTGTCTTACTTTAAGAAATTGTCACAGCTACTTCAACTGTCAGCATCCACCACCATGATCAGTCAGCTGCCACCACGGTCACTAAAGCAAGGCTCCCCACCAGCACAAAGATTACAACTTGCTCAAAGCTGAGATGATTGTCAGCATTTTTTATCAATAAAATATTTTTTAAATTAAAACATGTACTTTTCATTAGACATAATGCTCCTGCAAACTTAGACAAGAATATTGTATAAACATAACTTTTTATGCACTGAGAAGCAAAAAAAAAAAAAAAAATATGTGTGACTGCCTTTATTGTACTATTTTCTTTTTTATGGTGGTCGAAAATGGAACCTGCAATATCTCCAAGGTCCACCTGTACATGGGCAATCTCGAGATGAGAATGTTCTGAGATCCTTCCTTTTCCTTCCTAGCTTTTTTGAATGGTTCATCTACATATGAAAATATTCCTCTAATATTCATGTTATTTTGAAACAAATTCCTCATGTCCTACCTGAGTCTTTCGGAGAGTAAAAATATGCCCATAAATTTAAGATGATTCAAGATTCCTACCTGGGGCAAATTGCAACTTCTCTTTGAGCTTTAATCTTCATGTCTTAAAAAAAGAGTAGTTGAATAGTTTAGTATTATGATTCTTTACAACTCTAAATATACTTCAGGGTAAATTTTCAAGATCTGGTTTTATAATCCTAGGTTTTCAGATGCTGCATTAGGCATCAGTGTAAGTGAGGAAACTTACATAATTGAATAAATGTAAAAATATACATGTAAGGATTATCAAAATTGCTTAAATGAACATGTTTATATAATCAGTTATATAGAGAGAAACTGAGGATTGGCATTGATATATTTTACAGTTATTTGCCTCTCTTTTCCTTGATTTCTGAGAAATTTAGAGTTAAATATGTGATCTGTTACCCAAATCTTTGGTACTGGTTTGGAAACTGGTAGTATACGTTTGGTGTATCTATCAAACTTATCCTTTTTTGCAGCTCAATTTTTTCTTTATTTTATTTATTTTAGCAATCCCCACATTCTTTAAAATCTATTTGTAAAAAAGAATGAATCATGCCATATGTAAATACACCACCGTTGACTAAATATGGCCCCTCTTAAAAAGACAATGCAGTTATGTATTTAAAAGTGAAAATGGATGATGCTTCCTCATTCAGTAAGTGCTTTCCACATTGAATTTTCTTTTAAAAAAAAACCTGCACACTCAAAACTATATTATCTTCTGCTTGTTTAACCAAAAGTGTGTCTCAACCCTGAGTCTGCCAGCAGTATCTTTAACGTAGTTCAAAGGGTCCCTGGTTGAACCTGGCAGCACAGGAATCAGAAGCTTCTGATGGAAAGACAGCCTCTCACCAGTTGGCAGAGGCCGACATTGCTGGTGCCCTCCTGATTCATTTCATGTTGGAGTAGAGACTCTTGCTTCCCCCGCAATCAGCGAGCGCTCTGCCCTACATATGTGTGTGACTGCTCTGTTCTCTCTCTGGCTGTCTCTACATGTGTGCAAGTTTGCTAGATTTCATGTTGAAAGTCATGTCGAGGTGGAGTTGTCAACCCTACCTTATTTTTTTCCTTTTTTTCTACAGATATATTCCCCAGTTTACTCTGGGCTGCCAGAAAGACCGAAAGGAAGTGCAGGGATTTCTTTCTTTTGCATCCTGGCGCAAACCAAAAACAACAGCAAACTGTTCAAGGTCTATCAACGGATGCAGGCCAATCCTGTGTTTTAAAGGATGCCTTTAAATAAGAAAAGTCTAAGTGACAAAAGGAGAGTTTGCATGGATGACGGCCTCCAGACTTTCTAAAGAAATGGAAGTGGGAGCAGCTCTTGGATCACCATTATTATTAACACTAATGTCTTAAGGAGCCAGAAGATCGCCCTTGAGGAGAATGTAGACCAATTCTTAAAACGCACTTTTTACAGTGGTGACAATTGTCAGAGCAATACTTACAATAGAAGCAAGAGTTTCTTCTCTTTCACAATATCATTCTGAAATGCTACAGTGAAATACTTATAGAAAAGCAATACAGAGTAGAAAAAGTACATACTATTGAAGGTCTTTATAACCTGACTTATTTCAAAAGCAAAAACAAAGAGATGTAATCTGTGTTTTTTCACTCTACAAATCAGTGTTGTAAGGGGTAGATACAAGTGGAATTTTAAATGCAAACTCAGAGCCCCCAGATACAGCATTCTTTATCTCACATTGACATTTGATTAAATTAGACTGATGCATTTACAGAGTAAATGATCCCCTTGAAGGATGTTCAGCATGCTAACAGTTTTCACTTGAAGTATTAATTGTAACAAACTAACTCATGGTGGCAGAGACATTTGCAAATCTGACACACAATGGTTTCCAATTCTGACTTTAGAGGGACAATTACTGAAGACTGATTCTGAGACAGCATACCTGAAGCTCTCTAATTGACATTTCTGGGTTCCAGAAAGAAAAATCTGAAGAGATGTGCACTAGTGAGGGTGTTTAAATAGTGTGATAAATTGTATAATTTAGCGCGTCGTGTGGAGAAGAATATCCACCTGTGAGTTAAGCAGGGAGGCACCATTCACTTTGCAATGGTGCGTGTTGGGCAAGAGGAATCATAAAAACCACAAGATAAGCCCTGCTCTAAAGATACTGACTCACCTGCTGGAGCTGGAAGTTTCATTTATAATTACAGTTCCTTAGTCTAGAACAGAATTCAAAACACAGAAAAAAGAGAATAAGAGGGGCTCTTATTAAGAATAAGAGCAACATGTACAGGGTTTAATTAAAGCTACTCAAGGAAGCAGGAACTAATGCAGGCCCTGTCTGATTTTTCAACATCTTTAACCTACCAAATATCTCTAACGTATTATTAAATTACGTAATCAGCACATACTTTTTTTTTTGAAAGATGAAGAGCTCATTGCTTTACAAAAAGAGCTCAAATTTGTCCTTGAAATTGTTCAAACTAAGCCAGAGCCCATTCTCTAATTCAACCTCATATTCTATTATTTCTACTCGTATACTGATTCAAGTATTCAGTATTTTCAGATTCCTAAGTTTAGCAGGATTTTGCTTGTCGCCAAGGATTGACATTTAAATCCACCATAGCCCTTTTCTCATGGAGCTGTGAGTAGGACAAGAGGAGATTTATAGAGATGATCAAAACAAGTTGTCACATGAACACAACAGAGATGCTTTTGAGTCCTTTTTGAACCTAGAAGAGTAACATTGTCATAAATGACCTTTTGGATTTTTGAAAGAAGCAGCATGGTGCAATGAAAATGGCCAGGATTTTGTAGTCAGCAACCTGTGTGTAAATCTACACATGAGTTGTGACATATTGGAGGAACATCTGTCTGAGCCTCCTTTTCCTATCTGTCAAATGCAGGCAATCATATGCATATTCCAGAGTGGGAATGTGCATTAGGTAGTTTGAGGGTCTGACAGCACATTGAGCACATGGTGAGTGCTCTAGTATGTGTATCAGAGTTAATAGTACTAGTTATTATGTTAGTACAAAGAGATTAGCAGGTGGGAAACAGGTAGGAAGGAAAGAACATTCTAAACAGGTGACAGGCAAACCGTGAGATGAATAGAGAGAATGGCCTCCCCACAGCAGTGGCTGTACCACACTCTGCATACGATGGACGGGGGATATCCAGCTGAAACATGAGGAAGGGCAAGTGCTGAAGGGCTTGTATTCCATACAAAGGGCAATAAAACTTGTCATGGGGTTGAGAAACTTTACACAAAATTCTGTAAGAGAGAGTGGCACCTTCCATTTTATGTTTGACAAAGAATGCCTGGGTTCCATCTTAGAGACAGATAGGTATTGCTGAGCTAGGTCTGGAGAAACTGTCGGGCAGCCCTAGGGGTTGGTCAAGGGGCAGTGAAAGTCAGAGCCAGTGGGCACATCTGAGAGATGTGTTGTGGAAGCACTGGTACCTGGTATGTGGAGGTGGTGAAGACTTGGTCAGCTTCCGCCGCCCGTACCTGAGATGGGAAAGAGATACTGGAGGAAGGAAAGAAACTGAATCCACTGATCTACATCAGTGAGTGGCCTGTGGGCTCTAAAAACTATAGCAGACACAGATCAGGAGCACAGGAGAGAGGTCCAGTTATGAATAGTAACATAGAGATTGCAGGGCCATAAAGCAATTGAATTTGGGGCATGGTTAATGCAGATTTGTTTATGTGATGTCGTATGCTCTTTGTTAGGACCACCATTGAATTCAAGTAAAATTAACATTTAAAAACCATACTGCAGAAAACCACCAGTTTTCAACCACAAACTAATGCAATTTCTATCTGCCACATGCAGGCAATGCTACACATATTCCAGCATGGGGATGTGTATTAAGTGGTTTGAAGGTCTGAGAGCACATGGTGAGTGCACAAGTATGAGTAGCAGAGTTAATAATAACAGGCAGGAACCTGTTAACCTTTACTTACTAACACGATGGTGGAAGCCATTTTCTCTCCCTTACCACAGTTTGCCTGTTACATTTAAAATGTTCTTTCCTTCCCGCATAATAACTAGTATTATTAACTTTGATACACATGCTTGGGCACTCACCATGTGTTCAATGTGCTGTCAAACTGATGCAATTCCATTTGACCACAGATTCAAGGTTGTTACTGATTTTACCAGGCGGGATCTATGAAAAGTTTCATAAGGCTTAATATTTACTCCTGCTTTTCGGTGGTTAAACCACTTGCTTATGAAGGACCTGTAATCACTAAATTAAAATTATTTTGGTCTCCTAGGTCAGCTCTTGTTCGTGGCAGTAAATATATCATGACAGTATTAATGTTGCTATTAATGAAGTAATATTAATTATGGTAAAAGTATATTTCCAAGTCACAAAAGTCAAATAGTTCATACCCAGAGCTCCTGGTAGAGACAGAACTCAAGCCCAGCTTGCCTCATGCTGAATCCCACTCTATTCACGTTTGTTAAGGCTGCCTCCATAGAGATTTTATGTAGCATGAGTTCTGAACAAGAAACTGTATTTCCTTTCTGTGACAATGTACGGAATTATGTCTTATTCTGGGTCTTATATTTTACTTCTTGCTATAACTTATAAAAAAAAATCACATGACTCAAAATCTCAAAGGAGATTGGATTTGAAAGCAGGGTTTGAGTGAAAGGGGAATAGCAGATAAATTATTAAGGGTAGAAATGCATCCTTCCAGTCTAAATCATGGCGATGCACCCTTCTATTCTAAAGTATGGTGGCACACCCTTTCATTCTAAAACCTGGAGACACAGTCTTCCATTGTAAATGATGAAAATGCATCTTTTCATTCTAAAGTATAACACTGTGTTCCCCTAGGCTTCCAGCTTCCAAACATGTCATTGTACATGATTTAATTTTCTCTAATGCATTAACTTCATTTTATTTTTTTAATTTCTATTTTAGGTTCAGGGGTACATGTGCCTGTTTGTTATATAGGTAAATTGTGTGTCATGAATTTGCTCGCTGTTCCCCTCCTAGGGTTCATGTGCTTTTATTGTTGCGTTCTCACTGATGAATGAGAACATGTGATATTTGGTTTTCAGTTCCTGAGTTAGTTTGCTCAGGGTAATGGCCTCCAGCTTCATCTTTGTTGCTGCAAAGAACATGCTTGTTATTTTTTATGGATGCTTGGTATTCCATGGTGTATATGTACCACATTTTCTTTATCTAGTCTAGGGGTTGATGGGCGTTTAGGTTGATTCCATGCTTTTGCTATTATGAATAGTGCTTCAATTAACATGCATGTGCATGTATCTTTTTTTTTTATGTTTTCTTTTAAAATTTATTTTATTGCATTTTAGGTTTAGGGGTAAATGTGAAGAACATGCAAGATTGTTGCATAGGCACACACGCGGCAGTGTGATTTGCTGGCTTCCTCCCCATCACCTGTATCTGGCATTTCTCCCCATGCTCTCTCTCCCCTACTCCCCACCTCCCACTGACTCTCCCCTATTTCCCCTCAACAGACCCAAGCGTGACCGCATGTGCATTTATCTTTATGGTGGAACAATTTAGATTTCTTTGCATATATACAAAATAATAGGATTGTTGGATCAAATGATAATTCTGATTTAAGTTCTTTGAGGAATTGCCACACTGCTTTTCACAATGGCTGTATTAATTTACCCTTCCACCAGCAGTATATAAGCATTACGTTTTCTTTGTAATCTCACTAGCATCTGCTATTTTCTGGCTTTTTAGTAATAGCCATTCTGACTGGTCTAAGTTTATTTTTGAGAGTGCCAGAAATGAGCTGGTATAAGGATTGGATCTATCATCAATGATCAATAGACTAAGTCTATAAAGTTCAACTGAAATTCAATGGTTGCTGAGAATCAGAGTGTAGCTCATAGGTTGTACAGAAAAGCAACATGCACATACTAGATTTTTTTTAGCATAAGAGTTTTTACTAGACAGATAAAACTATCTTTGTGATAAAATTTAACTTTCTTAACTGATGAGGTCTTGTGTTTTCAATGTTGACAGGTATGGCTGGCAATCATATTCTGATATTAATAAATGTAGAAATTAAAAAGAAAGTACTTTAACCACATGAACCCATTTCACATGTGAAAACCTAGAACCTGTAACAATAATGTATTTCTGCTAATATGAAATTAAGTCTTCTAGTCGGGCCTGCATGAAAAAAAATTGTTATTACTAAAAGATTCATGAAGCATCATTGATTAAGTATTTCAATGG